GGACACTGTTGACATTTTTGCAGTGATGTGATTGGATTGTTTTTTCCTATGGTAAACCTGACCTTCGGAATTTATTTATTTATGTAATATATATTTATTTTATTTTTCAGAGTTGACAGAAACAAGTATCAAATTCACATTCCTCTACCACCCAAAATTGATCCCAGTGTCACAATGATGCAGGTGGGTTCCAGCTGCTAAAAATGAATAAGAAATAATTAAATAAATAATTTATTTAAAAAACGAAAAAGTTATGAAAATCCCTGACTGTAATCCAAAGGTTTATTATAATTTTTTCACAAAAAGAAAATGGACAGTTACTTCATTTAGGTGCAATGTCTATCTTATTTATATTTGTCAATTGATTTATTTACATTTATTTTATAATCTCAAAAATGTTCAGTCTGCTTTTCAGCAACCAACTAAACATGTATCAGTCATAGGTGCCTATTATTTAAACTTTAATTATGTTTCTCTGTGTGTGTTAGGTTGAAGAGAAGCCAGATGTCACTTACAGTGATGTAGGGGGATGTAAAGAACAGATAGAAAAGCTGAGGGAAGTGGTAGAAACCCCATTATTACATGTAAGTCATGAAACCTGTGTGCCTTGGTCAGATTGTGCATTCAACACTATAATGCACAGTGATTGATAGTTTTTTAATCACTTCAGAGTATTATTAGTAACTGGGCTGAGCACCAAAAAGTCAATTCTCTTTTTGTCAGATTTCCATTTTATAAGTTAAAGTAGAAGTTTAAAAAAATGTTCGATTCAGTTTATGATCAAGTAGAGAAAATTGAAAATTCAGAGGCAATTTCTAGATGTATATCCTTTTGCTAAATTAATCAATAAATGTAATTCATTGTTGTGCCCAGTATTGTTTTTCATTCCTCCCATTTTTTTCTGTCAATAGCCTGAGAGGTTTGTCAACCTTGGTATAGATCCCCCCAAGGGCGTGTTGCTGTTTGGCCCCCCAGGGACGGGGAAGACACTGTGTGCCAGGGCAGTAGCCAACAGGACAGATGCCTGCTTTATTAGAGTAATAGGATCTGAACTGGTACAGAAGTATGTAGGAGAGGTGGGTGATATGGGCCAGCTTGAGAGGGAGAAAAGCTAAATACATCTTTTTTTTTAAGTGTAGACCCTTGAGTACACAGAACAAAACTTACACCAGTAATGTTATAAATAGCATGTGGTATTAAGAGAGATTGCAAAAGTTGTAGAAAAAAATGCAGTGAAAGTATTCTAATACCCATACATTTACTGTTTGATGTGAAAAGGACCTTTAGTGTACCAAAGTTGTTGTTACATGTGAAAGACAAAATCTATGTTTAGACAGTAGTGTTTATTTGATTTACAGCTACACTGTGTTCATTATACTGGGATATGTTCCATTTTATTCTGTGTCCCAGTTTCAGTCATCTAATATCTCAGTGCTGAACTCTGTTTTGTATTTCCTCAGGGTGCCAGGATGGTGAGAGAACTGTTTGAAATGGCCAGAACCAAGAAAGCCTGTATCATATTCTTTGATGAGATTGATGCCATCGGAGGTGAGTTCATATTTTGAAAAATTAATTATTGAGATGTTAAATGATTGCATCTGTTTGTTCATTGTTCAGTATTTCAATTTCCAGGTCAAACTTTTGATGAAGGAGTAGTGACCTTGACCTCATTAGATGTCTTTGGCCTCTTAACAGTCTCCAGGTGCCAGATTTAATAAAGGTGCATTGACCTTGACCTTATCCTCATATTTATCTGTCTCCTTTCAGGTGCCAGGTTTGATGACGGCGCAGGTGGGGATAACGAGGTTCAGAGAACTATGCTGGAGTTAATCAACCAGCTGGACGGTTTTGATCCCCGGGGTAACATCAAGGTGCTCATGGCCACCAACAGGCCAGACACACTGGACCCTGCACTGGTCAGACCAGGGAGGCTGGACAGGAAGGTGGAGTTTGGACTGCCGGATCTGGAGGTAGGGGGCGTGAGGGGGGGGGGGACTGCCAGATTTTGGGGTAGGGGAGGTGGGGGGTGGTCTGGGGTTCTGGGAGTGAGAATGTGAGGGGACAAATTTTGAAAAAATATATAATTGCTTCATTGCCTGAAGTGCACCTGATCTATACTTATATGAATTCTCAGAAAGTTGTTTCATTGTTTTTTTCCAGGGTCGAACAGGTATCTTCAAGATTCATGCCAGGTCTATGAGTGTAGAGAAAGACATCAGATTTGAACTGTTAGCAAGGTTATGTCCCAACAGCACAGGTAGGAAATTATTTCCACTAGGAACCATTTGGAATGAGTTCCGTCTACCTAAATAATGCACACCAATTCCATGGGGACTCTTGTTTAATGAAATCTGTTAAGAGATTAACATGCCCCTTTTGTTTCCGTCGTGCTTGTATAATCACCAGCTTTTCTGCATTCTACTCGACCAGGAGGAGACGTGTTAATGTTATTGCAAATATCATTAGTATTAAAATATCTTTGTACTCTGTTTTCATTAAAATCTACTGTAAAAATGTTGGTGTTGCCTTCAGGTGCCGAGATTCATAAATATTATTGTTATTATTATTATGAAAATAGCTTTGTACTCTGTTGTTTCATTAAAATCCACCGTTAAAATGTCGATGTTTCCTACAGCTGTTAAGATCCGTAAATATTGTTCTAAAAATAACTTTTTACTCGGTCATTTCATTAAGATCCACCGTTAAAATGTTCATATTTCCTCCAGGTGCCGAGATCCGCAGTGTGTGTACAGAGGCAGGGATGTTTGCCATCAGAGCCAGGAGAAAGATGGCCACAGAGAAAGACTTTTTAGAGGCGGTGAACAAAGTCATCAAAGCATATGCCAAGTTTAGTGCTACGCCACGTTACATGACATATAATTAAGTGAAAGGAGATATGACGTTTGTGTGTGCGTGTAATGTTAAAATATCCATCTGAGACAGTAAGTTCAAGGTCATGCTCTAGAAGGTGTTGTTTTGATGCTGTTTCACATTGCCGCACTAGGCACTTTCTCAATATCTTCGAGCGAAAAAGGTTGCAACTTTGCGTCCATAGGACAGATAAAAATTGCCTGGGAAGATGTGCTTTAAAATCGTGGTCAGTATTGTGGCCAAGTCAGCCATCACATGGTCGAAAAGTGGAGCAAAGATAAATATTAAATGTGTCAACAGGCTGGGATACCGGTTATTTGCCAAGCGACATAAAAATAACGTGTAAATATGCAGCTGGAAATATGCGGCACACCGTCATTTAATACCAGCTGTGTTCAGTGTGAAAATAAAGATATGTTTAATGTTATGTTGTTGTTAACTGTTAAAGACAACTTCTTATCAGACTGTTACTTTAAAATCATACACTCATTTCAATATAAATGGATGTGAAACATCATAAACCCAGTTATATATATATATATATATATATATATATATATATATATATATATGACACGCGAGGCACGGTCCACAAAATGTCTGTACTCCAACAGCCGCTGTCTTATATGATAAAGCTCTAACAGTCCAGCATTTTCTGTTGTTATAATTTCTTTCCGTACCAATTTTTGATACGAAATGATTCAATCTCACAACAGATCGTATATACTGACTTGAAGTGGAAGTAATAAAACACCTGCAAGTTGTAATAGAGATTCGACTAAGAGTATCGGTTACGATGAGAGTTGTGCCAGCACTTTGTTTAAACTCAATTATGATATTTAACAACATGATCTTACCTATACTTCCCGATGGTGCTCTAGTTTTCCACCAAATCCCATTAATGTATACCTGCATTTTGCAACGCAATATGGGATTAATAACTGGATAAAGAAATACAATACTTAAGCATAGTACACTGTTTGACAGAAGGATACCAGTTCAGCACAGCGGTAAGTAGGCACAGGTGTTAAGATCTATTTAAGCCTTAAAGTTTAATCCGTATTTTGTTTATTTCTTCTAGATATCGTATTTGAATGCCTGTTTGTATTACCGATAGAATACATTCACAGAAAAGTGGGTGCTGGCGCAAAACCCAAAATGCATCAATTCGAATGAGACATCTCCCTCTTCTTAAGCATTTTTTATTAAGAGTATCTAAAGTTTATATTTGAAAGAAGGGAACATTTTCTTTGATCAATAACGGTAGCCTACAGTTGTTGCCAAAAAGGATCCAAACTTTGCCTTAATGGCAGTTCGTAAGAACAGACCAGAGTAAATGTGCCTCAATGTTGTGGTCAGTATTCTGGGCATATTAGCTGTCATGTGGTTTAAGTGTGTGTGTGTGTGTGTGTGTGTGTGCTATTAACTCGCAACGAAAACACCAAGCACCGTTTCCAATTCAAATCATTTATTTCGTTAACCCTTGCTATGAGCTGTTGCATGCCTGTCTGCGTCACAGAATGCGTACATACCACGCATTAACTGTACTTCACCCAGTCTCAAACTATAACCCTCTACCAACTTCTCTTATCCAATACATCTGCTATTTTGTTATACACATTCAAATTTTAACCACATTTTATCATCATCATTCAGTGCCCTGCTGTTCAGCGTTGGCGATTATGTCTCTCCAGACATCTAGGTCTCCACCATTTATACAATTCAATAAACCCTTTTAATGGTTGCATTCTTATCTGTATTACCGAATGCGTACATACCACGAATGAACTGTACATCAGAAACTATCACCTTCTCAGGCTTATCACTACTACCACCTCTTCTTTGTGAGACCCGTTATGCGCTGTCAGCAGAGACTGGGCGTTTAGGTCAAACCTGGTAAATTGATTATGAAATGGTATCCACTTGTATAGTCATTGATGTCAACCATATGCTAATCTATACATATATATTTATTTATCTATTTATTTGTCTGTTCTATGTTATAGTTACTAGTATTGTAATTGATTGTACCTTTATGTGAAGGTGTTTGTCAATAAAGAATCTGTTACCTACACCCCGCTTTCACCTTTTACATTGTTGAAATTACACTCACGAATACTACAAAACCTTTTTATATACATCAACTCATGTCAACTGGCCCCTCTTATACCTTCTCTTATAAACATTAATTATCTAACCTGCTTATAATTACTCGTATGCCATCGATACTATTTAAAATATTCTTCTATCACATATTTGCGATTTACTTCACCAGTCCGACGCAGACGGCTGAAACAGTCTCGAATGAAAACTACTCATCTCGCTATTCCTTTTATTCTAATGCGCAATACTCAATCTGCGCATCTCAAATTCCCCGCCCTATGAACTTATGTCCTCACCTGACTCGCTTCTCTAACACATTTACGTTGATTCGTTAAACGACAATAAATTCATTTATTATACAGCTAGAAACATCATTAATTACCGGATATGTTCACTATGAAAATAAAACTTTGTTTAATACTATGTTTCCGTTATTGAAATGTTTACTAAAGCTCACCAAACCTACCACCCCACCACAACAACGTATGAAAAAGAGGTCAATGCACTGAGTTTGTCCTAAACAACAAAAATCAAAAGGAAGAATCGGGTCATGTCCAGTTTCGATGTTCGCCCGGATTTCAGGACCAAGGCTTTTCTCCGTGGCAACTCAAAATTAGTTAATCTAAGGAAGACTTTGTGATACGCTCGAAATGGGCATGGGACTCATTCCAATTAAAACGATCGGTCTATGCAGATCGATTCAACTCTGTGGAGACTCTCGCTGAATGCATTCAGTTTTAGAGATTAACACGCCCCCTCTAGCTTCAGACGTACTCGTGTAACCATCAGTTATTCTGCATTCTACTCAATGCTAGGAGGCCTTTCATTCATAAAGCTGATGGTGCTTGGCGACCGATCTACATAGACCAACATCGGCTTTGGGAATGAGCCCTTAAACACATTAAATCACATATTAGAAATTCTTGCTCGAGGGATATCTGAAAAACTTAAATGACACATCTATAAACCATTAGAGTGTGAGGAGAATTACGCAGCAAATATTGAATATTTAACGATGTCAAGTTGCCAAGGGATGCTGTAATCATATAATGTAAACAGATGCCCTGAGAAACAGTGAAATATCAGAGGTAACATAAGTTAAGAATTTTACCTGATTACCTTGAAAATGATCTGGTGTTGATTATTTTTCGAAAATTGTAGGATTGGATTATCTGTCTGAATGCAGCCAAGATGGGATTTCTAGTGAAAGAATACATTGTTGCTGTCATATTCGTTCTACAATGGCAGGCGCGTCTGGAAAAAATGGAACGGCGCTGTCTACCTGAAACATGTTTTTATAGGTTCAGACTTGGAAGGACAGGTATGTTGCGCCATCTATATAAATTTACCATGTTTATCACGCCATCTGTAGACTTTACTCATTTCACTAAGGAATTGCTCAATTTACAAAGTGCAAAATGTGTCAATGCTCTTTGTGATTACAATAAGAAATAAAATTGCCGAAATTGCTGTGATAATTGTATCCTTTGTCTGTAAAGTTGAAAAGTCTGTAAAGTTGAAAATTCAATACAGTGGCTGATACCCGATTCTTGGCCAGTAATCTAGATAATCATATCACGTGAATGCCTTTAACATACTATAATACTATATGGACATTGGTTGGTACATACATTACGATTTCTTTGGTGTCAGTGCAACTGCAGGAGAGGCGCGAAACACCGTGTTTTTGAATAGTCTTGCCCAAGTAGCACACTGTCTTTATTCTAATCATTTCAGCGCAGTCCTTGAATGGAGCGACTGCATTGAGTGCTATTTGCTTGGTATGCGATAGATCATTCCCGGCGCTCCATACTGTACAACTTAAAGCCGACCCTCGGAAACCCGTTCAGTGGATTGATTTCCAGACTTGTGATCCCATCAGTGAGGGGTATCCGATTGGTTCCCGTACAAAGACTCTGCACTACCCGGGACCCCCTGAAGGAGCAGTGGTTACCGACTTCCAGTTTATGTGTTCTGACGGTACACTGCTCGAGGCTCAAGATGCATATAAAGCAATTGGTGCCTGGGGTAACTGGGAATATTGTCCTCCAAATTGCCATATCTGTGGAATGGAGACTGAAACGTGGACTTTCTCTGACCTCAGTCTCACTACTTTTACCAGTGTTGCTGCCAAGTGCTGCCCGAACTTATTCTTCCGACACGAGTGCATAATATATTATAATGACCATATTTCACAGACTACAGACTGTAGCCGGTTAGTAGGTGATTCAAGGTGAATGGTAATTTCTAATCAGATTGTACGTAAATTTCAAATTTTAAAACGTTTTTTTTTTTCAGTGGGTTTGTAAGGAATCACAGTATCTACCCTTTTTCTTGTACAGATTTGACATTAATGGATTTTGTTTCAAAACGATTTCCATTCAATGCTTTTTATTATCAATGACGTAAAATGGAGTACTCAAGTGGATCACATATATAAAAAAGCATGTGCAAAACTCTATTTCCTCTGTCAACTGAAGCGAGCCAAGCTCAGCCCTGCTGACTTAATTCAAGTTTACCAAAGTATTGTGGGCTCAATTCTAGAATATGCCTACCATGTGTGGCATTCAGGACTAACTACAGAGCAATGCAAACTTTTACACCCCGTTTCCATAGATTTTTAGATCGATCTATCCCTGTGGGGAGTCTCACTAGATTACTGTCAGCTTGGCCGGCTTAAGCGTCTATCCCGCCTACTAAACGCTGTAAGGGGGTAATTAACTATGGTGTCCGCTCGGCTGACTGCAATTTAGCGTGAACCCCCAGGGAGTTAGGTCGATCTAAAACTTAATCTTTAGATCGATCTAAATCTCTGGGAAAACACCCTTAGAGTGTCCAAAGTCGTGCTTTGAAGATCATCTTCCCTGACCTACACTATGATGAAGCCCTGAACCTGGCAAATATGTGTACTTTAGACAAACGAAGGGAAGATCTGTGCAAAACTTTCTTTTACAAAATAGCTAAACCCTCTGACAAACTGAATCACATTTAAACTGAGTACCAATCGTCTTTTAAGAACAAAAAATAAATACAAAGTGCCAAAATTTAAACCGATTGATTCCGATGCCCTTTTATGCCATATGCACTTTTACATTTCTTACAGTTAAATGTTGTCTTTTGTCCTAAGAACAGTGATTTTAAAGTTCAAGTAGCAGTCTTTAAACTCGGGTTCACTCAAACATATAACATTTTATTATCATTATAATGTTCTTAACATTCTATGTACAACTTCAACCCACTGGGTTGCAATCTTAATAAATTCACTTTGGCTCAAATTCACTGCTACACCACACTACTTTACATATGATTAAGCTCATGGTGGTG